AGTTTTTCTATCCCTATATATACTTAGTTCTACTTTTCTTGTTGATTGTAGAGTTTTTTTTAATATATCTATTGGTATTAAAGCTACACATTTTCCTACTTTTTTTAAATCTATTTAATTTAATTTTTTAAAAAATAATTTATGGGATTGAAGAAAAAATTTATTAGCTATTTGTATTACTCTTTCAAAGAATTCTTTGATATCTTCTTCCTTCTTTTGCTTGAAATGTGAAAGACTATCATTTTTTTTTTTTTTATTAATCTTTTGTCCTATGAACCAAATAATGAATACATGTCTAAGATCTTCTTAAAAAATAAAGTATCCTATAAGATACCAAATATATCACTTAAGTGCCTTCTTTCTAAGTATTACTAAAAAAAATATTAATTTATCTTCATCTACTAATTTTTTATTAGCTTGACAGAAATTATTAAAATTTTAATGTAAATGTATGGATTTCTTTTGTCCTTAAATTTGAATAATCTAATTTTTTTGTATCTAATATTTAGTACCATATTAGTTGTTGCTCTTTGTTGTAATGGTGTGGATAAATTAAAAGACTATTGAAAATTATATAGGTTCTATATTTGTAGTATAGTTTACTAAATTTAATTCTCTTATAAATTCTTCTATGATTAAAGGACTTCTTGATTTTCTACCAGCAGTACTTGTCAAATTTGTGTTGACTTCACTAATAGAATTTAAATCTCCTATTAAGATTTTTAACTTAAGTCTTCTAAAAGAATTTTTTCTTTTATTGTATCATCTTTTTTTTTACTATTTTTTTTGTTGATTATTTTTTTTCTTACTTCTTCTTTTTTTTATTTATATATTCTAAAAATATGATGTCATTCAACAACTTGTTTCCTTGGAATTTTTGGACTTCTAAAAGATCCAATTTCTTGATTCATTACCTAATGCAGTGTCTAATTTTTGTAGTCATTAATTTTATATCGTTTTGTGGTTTTCTTATTGCCAAAGTTGACTTTCATATAATATTCCTTGATTTAGATTCTTCTTTAATATGCATCTTATTTTTACCTTTTTTTTAGCTAAATCTAAATATTATTATTATTATTATTATTATTATGATTTGTCCTACATGTTCAATTCTTTTGGTTTGATGTGCAATATAGAATTGTTTTGTACTATCTTTATTTATGGTTCTTAATACTTTTGATAAAGTTGCTAAGTTTCATTTAAGAATATGACTCATCTCTATTAAATAACCTGTATTAATTTTTAAAATTTTATGAACTTAACTACTAAGACTGGTGACGTTGTTGTACTACAATTGTTTTTAGTATATAAAAATTAATTAAAATATATAATATATTTAGAAGTCTTGATGTATATTAGAATTATTAATAGATTAATTTAAAGAGAATTGATGTAAAATAATTTATTTAAGGTTATTTATTTAAAGACCTACATCTTTTTTGAAAAAATTACTACATTTAGGGTTTTTATGAAAGAGTTATAGGGCATTAAAGACAACACATGTAATTCGAAGGCAATAAGTGAGTTGTTTTATTGATAGTAATGGTTGAAGCCATATCTTGAATTGTTGAACGAATTTTTGACTCAAAATTTTTAAAAATATGAGCTATTAGGTTAATAAGCTATATATCAAAATTTAATGGTATTTGAGTACTTGATTTGTGAAATGTGAAGAAAATTGCATGTAAGTGTATGTAAGCAAGGGTTTAAAGCCACTATTAGGATTTTGGCAATATCCCAAGATCCATAATAAATTTGCAATTGAAATTCGTTTTGGTAGTTTTTTAAAGTACATCAGTACTTCATGCAAAATTTTAGTATTTTTAGACAGTTTGATTGTGAGGTATGACTGTTGAAGTTTGGAAAAAATTCACCTTAAGGATATATAAGGATTTAGAATATTTTTATCATATTTTGGGTGTTCTTTGGTAATTATGGCTTACATATTGATGTAATTACTCCTATAGGGATAATTTTATATACAAACTTGGTACTTTCTTATTTTGAGACTTAATTAAATAATTAGTAATAGCTAAAAGTTTAGCTCTTTCTTGAAGCGACTCTCTTTACCTTGACAATGTATCCCTAATATGGTTGCTAAATAAATACTTAGATTCTTGTATCTCAAGAATCTCAAGTATACCTTCTATATTTTTAAATATAAACTATCCATGTACTTATCTTAAATCTTCAAGGTTCTTATTTTTATCAAAGTTGTGGTCAAACAATTCAGCTTTAAAACTATCTTCAATTTATTTGTCAATTTTATTTGTCAATTTTATCTTGTCTTATTTAATCTAGCCTTCAAACATCTATATCTTCATGGATTTTATCTTATCTTCATCTTCTTCAATCTAATCTTCAAACATCTATATTTTCATAAACTTCATCTTGTCTTTAACTTCTTCAACCTAATCTTCAAACATCTATATCTTCATAAACTTTAACTTGCAATTCTTACAACTTAATACTAGATCAAAAGTGTATGAAATTCCATACAAGTATGTCAATTGTAATCTCTTTATTATGATTTTATTTTGATAATAATAACTTAATTTTAAAGCTTTTTATAGCTTTTTATAGTAAATTTCTTCTAAAATTATTTAAATATAATAAAAATAATGTATTTCTAACTTCTATAACTATCAAAGGTGGTTTAACCACCTTATCTTTTACACACATAGATGGCTAATTCCTTTGCCTTTTCATACTTTCTCATCTTTTTTTAACCTTATTTATATTTATTTCTATAGGATATTTTTTTATTAAAAAATTTATTCTTTTTTCTTTTTTTTATACTGCTTTATTTTCTTCTCATTTTTCTACAATACATCTCTTTAATAAAATAATATCTTTATTTTATTAATTATAATTTTTAAAGTTAATAGGATTTTATTAGGATTTACTTAGGATTATATTAGAATTTATTTAGGATTACATTAGGATTTGATTAAGGTTTACTTAAGATTTTTATTTTGTTATTTTTTTAGGATTTCTTTATTATATATATTTCTTTAAGATTAATTTATAATTTCCTTATGATTCTTTTATAATTTTTTTAAGACTTCTTTTGGATTTGATTAAAATTTGATTAACATTGTTAAGATTTAATTGGAATTTATTTAATATTCTGCTTGAGTTGTTAAGACCTTATTGTTGCAATTTCCATTTTAGCTTCTACAACTAGGTTCCTAATGCAATCTCAAGCAAACTTCATAGAATATAATAATTTCTCATCTCAACTTTGAATTGAGATGCAAGAATCATTTGACTATTTTCATATATTCTAGCTACTAAAAAAAATGCAAAACTCATCTTTGAGTCAACCTCAACTTGGTATGCATGTCCTATTAAAATTCCACAACCATGATATCAAGAATTACACCATGTATCATTATTGATGCTGTTGTGCATGGTCAACAACCAAAGAAACAACCTTCAATCTATCCAATTGCTTCCCACTACTTGAAAATTGCTACTATTCACCTAAATCACATTGTGTCAAGAAAAATTGCTCAACTATGGCATTGCAACTTTGGCCACATCAGTACAAACATGTTGAAACAACTTGCACAAAATAAGGCAATTATTGGCTTACTTCTCAAGCAAGTTTGGCCCAATGTATGTTCAACCTGCATTTACGGAAAACCAACAATCACAAAGCTACAAAAATTCACAATAAAAAATTAAAAGAAATCTTTTAGAAATTTGAAGAAATTAAATGTATTAAAAAAATCAACTTTGACTTTTTTGGCTCTTTATTATTTTGAATATAAATTAGTTGTAGTACATTTGGCATTACATTTAGAATAAATATAATTAATAAAACAATAAAATTTAAAAGTTTATTTTATCAAAAATATCTATATTTTAAATTGAATTTTGTTAAATTCAGATAATTTAGTATAGTTTTAATTGTATTATTAAATTTTAAATTCTTATTTATCTTATCTATAAAAAAAATTATTAAATGATAGTTTTTAGGATTTGTTAAGAAATATCAGTTTAAGATTTCCACTCACCTCCAATCAAATTTATAGTTGAAAATTTATTTGGTATTGGTTTCTTTGTTTTGTGACCAACATGGTGGTGAACAAGGGATTATTAAGGCTTGTTCTACTATTATGTTTGAAATTGGATTGATTTACTAAATCTTTTAGTTGTGGTGTGGATTACTAAAGTAATAGTTTAGATTTATTGTATCCAGATTGAAAATATACGGATATATATATATATATATATAAAGAATATTGTTTTCTATACTATTATGTCATTGTATTAGATCCTACATCTAAAGACAAGTCATGTGACCTTTCATATTAATACATAATCCAATGGATGATAGATTAATTTCATCTTGAAACTAGGCTACCAATTTCAGTTTAACATTTTATATCTCAGAAAGCCACAGTCAAAACTACTAAACTGGAAAACTGAAAATAATAATTATTGTGATATTCAAAATTAAACAGTTGTCAATTCTGTAGTTGTATTTTTTCTTTCACTTCCAGCTTTCCATGTAGGAAACAATCAAAACTATTGAAGTCATATCGAAATAAGACCAGAGCCCTCACAGCTGAAACAATATCAAATTTACTAGAAGTTTTTTAATACAGAAATGCATTTCTTATTTATTTTTTCCCCAATAATATTTTTTGAACAAAAACTCAGTATAACAATATGTTCAAAACATAAAGAACAAAAGCTTTTTGATCCAGCAACAACAGAGGAAATAATATTTCTGTCAATGACCAAACTAAAAAAAAACACACGTTGCCTACCAAATCTAGTACACCAGAAACTACATGTTGCCTACCATTGCCACCACACCAGCAACAACATGATACACTTTTGTTCATTCCGCATATTATAATAAATGATCTTCAAAGTTTTGTGCAAAAATTGGTAACCTGTGAAACACTCGACAACAGTATAACCAATTGTGACTGTGATTGTCGAGTGTTTCACTGTTGTAAATATTGTGGGGAGTAGCTTAGTGCATGCCGGATATGAGTGTAAATGTATATATATATATATATATATATTTGTGTGTGTGTGAGTGTGAGAGAGAGAGTATCTCTGTCCGAGATCCACGTCAACCACAGTTGGATTCCAACTTCACATGCACGGTGTTGACAGGGTGATTAACTGAAACAATTGGAATTGGGTTCTGAGAGCATTGTTCTGGCGAGGTTGTGTTGACTTTCGCGAAACGGACGGCGTTGTTCGAGTTTCGTTGCGGTGAGGTTTGTTAGAGTCCAGATTTGACCGAAATTATTTCTGCCTAGGAATGAGGTTTGCATATTGTCTGCAATCAGTTCGTGCGGAGTTTTCTATCAGTGACTACTGGTGTAGTCACGCTAATTTCTTTCAGGGAGTCGTCTTCGAGTAGAGAATTTTTATCGTTTCTTGGTTAAAGAAAATTTCCAGTATTTCTTCACTGTCGTCGACGCTAATTTTCAGTGTTTCTTCGCTATTCGTTAATTTGTCAATTCATTATTTATATGAAGATTTAATTTATGATAACGCACACGAAGACTTTGAAAGCAGCTTTCAAGGGTCTGTGATTTGTTCCCATTTTGTTTGTGCATCCTCCAGGCGCCATGTTTCACTCTAGTTGTTTGAGTGTCATGCCCGATCACATCTTAGAAGACATCTTGGCACTTATTTCTCTGACCTCACTTGTCGTTGGTACCTACGTTTGCAAGAAATGGCGATCTATCATTAGCTGTCCAACCTTCCTTGACCTCTACAGCCAAATCCAGGAGCATTCTGAGAGCTTTCTATGCGTGAACGGATTTCGATACAAAATTACGGACGCAAATGCAGATAACAACGGTTCTAGAGGCGAAGATCCCGCCGAGCCCGTCGTGTCAACAATCTGGAGACACTATTGGGGCACCGGATGGCTTATCTTCGATCTCTCCGAACAATCAGCACTGCAGAAACTTTCGTACAAGCTGGGAATTCTCGACAAGCAATGGAAAGAGACTCCCGCGCTCATCTATTCTCGAGTTTTGCCCATAGTTGGGATGCTTAAGCGCCTAAGGAACTGCAGCCACATGGTGATTTGCATAGGGGGTTTAATTTCCAACACGATCAAAGAGTCCATTTCCAAGGTTCAAATCTTCGACTCCGAGTCCAACGCCTGGGAAGAATGCGAGGATTTACTGGTGGAATTCCATGGTATATCCACGGCGAAAGCAATTTCGACTTTGGTCTGCAACCAGAAGCTCTTCATCTTTCACATTTACTCGGGAATTATGGGGTCCTTTGATGGGAGAACGAAGTGTTGGAGCCAGGTGAAAACATTCCGTCCACCAGGAATGCAGTATAACTACTTGGCGCTTCGGATGGGTAGGCTGTAACTCGTGGGAGTGAATCCGGAGAATGACAAGTTTTTGTTTCGGGGCTGGGACGTAGATGATGTTTCAATGGAATATTCAGGGCCATCGCGGCCCCTGCTGTTCAATTTCGTACGCACGAAAACTCAGCATGATTCACGCAAGTTGAAGGCCTATGCAGATGTGGTTTCTCGTCCACCAATTCCGTCTCTGGATCTTTCTGCTTCCATTCCCGCATGTCCAATGCTTCTTCACTACTTGATTGCCATTGTGAGATGCTTGTCGAGAAGCACATCTAAGGTTTTCGACGCTTGCGTATGATCGGTAGGTTAGGCGGTGGATCAGAGTAGAGACATAATGCAGAACTTGTACATCATTGCAGTGCTGCAGCTCTTAATTTAATTAATTTCTTGAAGACCATATCATTCAGTTCACAATGGAGACTCGAAGCTCATGTAGGTTATTTACTGTCGCTGAATCTATCAACAAACTTATCAAGTTTAAAAACAGAGATCGTGCTTTTCTCACTGTTGAATGCTGTGATTCTTCACATCTGAGAATCAATCTGGGGCCCTCTACATGTCATGAAATAGAGCGATGTGGATTATCACCTGATAATGCGCATCCGCTGTCAGAAACCTTGACAATTTCAACTACTTGACTTAAACACACGAAAACGGCCTCTCATAAATGTGAAGCAAGTCCCACTGGTGGATGTTACTGGAAGAATTTCTGCTTTGTTGAGAATTGAAGTTACAGTCAAGAGTTTTATGGCTATATCAATCTGTTTTGTTTGTTAGATGCGCCTAGGAGTTGTTTGATTGTAACTCAGTTCATCTCTCATAAATAATTCTCCACTCTTGCAGTGCATGTTCCTTAAAACTCACAATTCTAGAAACGCCAATGAAATACTAGAGCCAGATGTTGATGCTTGCCATGTTTAAGTGCAGTGAGAGCTTACGAATCACAGGCATCATGAAACGTGAGATTGGGGATGAAAAGTGAGTGACAGTGCTGTTGGAATCCTCAGGACAAAGCTATGTCGCTTAAATTGTCATGTGCTCAATTGGGTTCTCTTGTAAGCTTGTGTTAAAGGAGTTTCAAACTCAGTTGCACCAGAAATGAGCCTACAAAAGCCAAAATAAGCAAACAGTTTGAACAACTGTTCAAGTACATCATGCATACATCACCTTCCAAGGACAATATGCAAGCATCACTCAATGAACTTAATAGATAATTATCAGAATAATATTAACGTATGTTACTAGTGATACCATTTCAATGATATGTGGGTTTGATAGAATAAAATTAAGAATAATAGGGTTAGAATCTAAAAATAGGGACTTCTTAAAGCCACATCCCAACTTTGTTAAAGCCACACCTCCCTTTCCACTAAATGATTTAAATTGTATTAGTCCCATGGTTTGGACCTTGTTCCCATCCCACATCTCCATTCCCTATTCCTGTTCTTCGATCCCAAACACTGCCCCCACCTCCCTGTCCCAATCTCCCCATCCCAATCCCTCATCTTGACCCTGCCCTTGTCTCCATCTTGTCCTGACCCCGCCCCCATGCCCACCCTCGCTGTCTTCACTCTTCCATAAAATAATTTTATAATATTGTTACTTTCAATATTCAATAAATACATTTTTTTTTTTATCATTTCTTCTTTTTGAGTTAATTTTTGAATAAACAAACAATGTATTGATTTAATTGCAAAGTCATGGTCAATTTAAAATACACAAGAAATATTTAGAGCCAACTATAGTATCAATTTTCTTTTAGTAATGTAAGCTTTTTTCAAAAGAACATTGAAGTAAAAGAATTACCAATTAATAACTTAGAATTTTTCTATATTTTATGTAGAATATATAAAAAAAAAAAATTATAAAAAGAAGAACCTTAAAAAATCAATAGAAAAATCATCAAAATATAAAAACTTATTCAAGTGCTTCATCATGTAGTTTTCTTAGTTTCATAACATCTTTTTACAAAAACATATTCCACAAAGCCCTTCTATATGTTTACTTAGTACAAGAATCGCCATTTATATTGCAGCCAATTAGCATATCATCCAAGTAAAATATTAATCTTGTATATAATTTGCATGTAAGTATTATTCTTTGAAATAATTTATGATAATTTTTGGTGAATTTTTACAAAAAATACCAATCTTAGTAATACAAATAGAAGTTATTAAATAATAGATGATATTAAAAAATATGTTTAGATTTTTTTTATAAAATTAAGTAAGGCACTTATTTTAATTAATTAGACCTCTTATATGTGAAATCTACTATCAATTAATAATAAAATTAAAAATTGCAATAATCCTTACAATAGTACTATTACTTTATTTTATAATAAAAAAATATATATTATTCTTTTTGTGTTGCAAGTATTATTACGGATTTCGTATTTGAAATATATTCATATTAATAATAATATGGCTGTTATTATATCATGCATTATTAAAGTTAATTAAATCTTTGGTTTTAAATATTTTTTTATATTACTAAAAAAATTAATTAATATTTTTTTTAAAATCATATATGTATATATGTATAGTTTTTATTATGTGATAGAAAATAAAATACTATAAAAGATGTAGTCTGATGATTGAATACTTTAATGAAAAATATACAAAGTTTGAAGTACTATTTAAATCAATTTTTTAATAAAAAATCTTTGCTATTAAAAATAAAAATAATCTTTTCTTTATTATTTAATTTTAAAGAAGATGATTTAAAAACATGTATATTTTCATTTTTGTTAATGTATTTTAAATTATATTTGAAAAAATAAAATAATTAATGGAGTTTTTTTCTTAAATAAATAAAAGAACATTGTATAAATATCTTACATCAAAACTTATTTTATGGGGTGGGATTGGAGGTGGGGTTGGGACATGAGGGGGTCAGGGATATGAGACTAATACAATTTGAATCAGTGAGAAGGGAGGGTGTGGCTTTAACAAGTCTCTAAAAATAATGTAATAATAATGTAATGTATATCAATGGACTTAAAATTTTTAAATTTTTAAATTGGAATCTTTAAATATTTAATAACTATATTTTTTAATATTTAATATTATTATGAAACTTACATTTTTTACAAAATCACCTACAAAAAGCAACTTAATATTAATCAATTGTATTAAAAATTAGATACTTTTTTTATTATTGTTTAAATAAAATAATGTTACTATAGTTGTCTATTTTGTATTTAATTCTTTTTAAATACTTTTTTAGACTATTTTTTATTTTTGATAATTTTTTAATATCTATATATATAATTCAAGGTGATATAAATCTAAAAGTATATAATTAATAAAAAATAACATAATAAAACTTATAAATTTATCTAATTTATTTTTAATATATTGTAGTAAGATTTGATACTATTATTAAATTTAAAATATGCATAAAAGAAAGATTATATTTCATTTTTCTTACATCTTAAATTTTTTAAAAAAAATTAAAGTATAAAAAAATCTATCTAAAATTTTTAAATTCTATATTACTATTTTTTCTAAAATATAAAAATATCATAATTCTATTCTTAAATATTAAAATATTTCAAAGAAATCATAATAAATTTTAAAAATTAAATATAACATCTATTAATATATATATATATATATATAATTATATTTAAATCAAATAAGATCTAAATAAATATAAATAAATTTTATTAATTTAAATTTTTAATTAGATTTATATTTCTAAATTTTTCATATTTAAAATATCTACAATATATTTATACATTAAATCATATATATATTTTTGTATTATAACATATTTACTAAATAAAAGAATTGGTGAAGACCAAAATAAATACATAATCAAGTACAATATTAATAGATGTTTTTTAAAATTTTATTACTTGTAGATTGAGCTTAGCTATAAAATTAAATTTTTATGCTACTATATGCAATAGAAAGACTTTTATCACCTTAATAGGATTACGAATGAATCAAAATAAGATAGAATGGGTCAAAAAACTATGCAAGTATTTTTATTATAAATTTAAAAATAGGTTCTTATAAAATTTATTATAAAAGTAGTATAAATAGTATCCAAGAGGTTTTTGAGAGATAGAATGGATCAAATTCAAACTCTTAGCAAAAAAAATAAGAATTTGTAGCAAATAGGGATTTTTGAGAGATTGAAGAGGGAGATTACTTTACTAATTTTAAGAGTATTTTTAGAATATAAGAGTAATAGGATTATAACTTAGAAGATGCCTTAAATAAGGTAGTAAAATTTGGGATTTGTAAATCTTAAGTTTATAGTTAAATTTTTTAAATTAAAAATTTACTTCATTATTATAATTAATTAATTAACTAAAACAATCAATAGTAGAATCTATTTGAATATAAAATAATTTAAAATCAATTTTAGGCTCTAAAAAATATAATCTAAAGAAATTAATTATAAGATTTATTAAATTTAGATCTATAAATAATACAAATAAATATTATTTATAGTTTATTAGATAACATTTGAATTATACATGATTATAAGTATCAACATTTGTTGCATATTATATATGATCTATGTGGTATATTTGTAATAACATAGACCATATATGTCAATATCTATGGCATATTGTTAATGGCTTCTTATTCAAGAATTCTATAGTAGCAAAATTAACAACTAGTTTGGTAGTGCAATCTGAGTTCAAAAAGTAGGTAAAAAAAAGTAAAAAAATCACAATGAATACCTTCAATAATTCATAATAGTGATTGGTTATTGGCACTTATTGCTACTTTATGAAAATGGTGCATCTGTTAACTTCAAATATTGAATTTCAATCTTCATTTGTGCTCATCTTTGAGATCTTAAATTAGCACATACATTATTAGTGCAATATTCAAACTAAATTATATATCATGAAGAAAATTTGATTCAAGATGATGACATGAGGACTTTCTTTTGTGACTTTGGACTTTTATATCGTCAACCATTTAACAATCAAAAGTTATGTATATTCCAAAAGAATTTCTATTCTATCATATTTTTGTATTGTGTGCATTGTCATGTTGTAACATGGCTATTAGGTGAAAGACGAAATGAAAGATTATATTATAAAGGAGCTTAAATAAAAATATTTTAATAACTTATCTTTAAAATATAAATAATAGATAAAGAAGTAATAAAAATGAATAAGTACGAATATTACCTTCTTATAAAAAAAAACTTCTACTTCCAACAATTCCAAGGTTCTGTCAAGGACAAAAACTTGAAGAAAAAGTAATTCAGACAAGTAAGCATT